TACTCACAGACTGTAAGTAAGTTTTTTATATTTAAAGAATTTGCCACTGACGATTCAAACGCGAGTTTTTTGGGCAGTGTAGAGTAGCACTTGTTGTTTGCCATTTCTCTGATCCCAAATGCAGACATGGTTTTATGTTTATGCGTCGCGATGCAACGCATAAAAAGACAGTATAAGTCATTATAATCCGTAATTACGTCCCCACTGGATGCAACAAATGCCTTGTTTATAATGGGTTTTAATGTTTATGTCTCATCACTCCGGCCGGACAGGGCATCCCAATATGTTAAGGGGTGTAACATTTCCGTCACACGCTTGAGGTATTCGGCCAATCACAACGCTCTGGATAGCTGGCCAATCAGAGCACACCTCGCTTTTCAGACCGATGAGCTTTGTAAAAATTTACGCGTTTCAGAAAGGCATAGAGGAGAAATAATAATGTACAGTATGTGGAAAATAATGTGTTTTTTTTTACTTTAAAAAGCATAAACACATTTCATTACACTAAATACACCAAATAATGTTCTTTTTAGCAGCATCATATGACCCCTTTAATGACTTTACAAAAAAATCATTGAGAGGAGCTCACAGACATTCATTGGACGGATAGCTATACATAGTTGGTTAATGTGTGTAGTTTTGAACTGAGACTTTATGTTAGTATTTCAGTGTATTATATAATTATTTGTAATATAGTATTGTGTTTGGCCTAAAGAGTGCCACAGAAATTAGTTCATTGGAAATTGAAGCGTAAAATGTCCCTCACTTTAACGATAGCATCTGTGCAACACACTTTAGAAATCTGTGCAACAAAGTTTAGAAAGGCATTCATTGATTGTTAGATCTTTCAACAACAAAAAACACATGGGAATTCCAGGAACATCAAGTTCAAGAAAAACACAGTCAAAGATCTTTAAAGAGATTTCTGTGTGGTACCGAATCGTGTGTGTTGTGGGTGCTAATTAAGATCAATTCTGTTTACTTGAGATTAGAATCCCATTACTTGGCTCTAATAACCTCTCATTGCTGATGAAACTTTTGGCCGATTTTGAAATCCATCCAATCTGATGATGCCTTTGTAATGGAGGCAATAACTGTTGCCAGCGGTTACATTATGACAGATGGAAAATGTGGCCCGAATAATGTTGACAGCCCCTGAGGATCTCCTGTCAGTTTTGGGGTTTTAATCCCACATCCAGCATTGTGTTTGTGGGCTGACAGAGGAACTGTGCACTTCTTCAGTTTATTTAAGTAAAACTTAAATAATTGGACTATTTTATATTAGATATTTTATAATTTTCCTTGCTTTTTTACTTATCAATGCGATCCCTCTTAATAAATACCAAATATTCTTGCTCTAGGAGCTTGTTAAATTGCTCTGTATTTGTAAACGTCAAAGAAAGTTCCGGCCGGACAGGGCATCCCAATATGTTAAGGGGTGTAACATTTCCGTCACACGCTTGAGGTATTCGGCCAATCACAACGCTCTGGATAGCTGGCCAATCAGAGCACACCTCGCTTTTCAGACCGATGAGCTTTGTAAAAATTTACGCGTTTCAGAAAGGCATAGAGGAGAAATAATAATGTACAGTATGTGGAAAATAATGTGTTTTTTTTTTCTTTAAAAAGCATAAACACATTTCATTACACTAAATACACCAAATAATGTTCTTTTTAGCAGCATCATATGACCCCTTTAATGACTTTACAAAAAAATCATTGAGAGGAGCTCACAGACATTCATTGGACGGATAGCTATACATAGTTGGTTAATGTGTGTAGTTTTGAACTGAGACTTTATGTTAGTATTTCAGTGTATTATATAATTATTTGTAATATAGTATTGTGTTTGGCCTAAAGAGTGCCACAGAAATTAGTTCATTGGAAATTGAAGCGTAAAATGTCCCTCACTTTAACGATAGCATCTGTGCAACACACTTTAGAAATCTGTGCAACAAAGTTTAGAAAGGCATTCATTGATTGTTAGATCTTTCAGCAAAAAAAACACATGGGAATTCCAGGAACATCAAGTTCAAGAAAAACACAGTCAAAGATCTTTAAAGAGATTTCTGTGTGGTACCGAATCGTGTGTGTTGTGGGTGCTAATTAAGATCAATTCTGTTTACTTGAGATTAGAATCCCATTACTTGGCTCTAATAACCTCTCATCGCTGATGAAACTTTTGGCCGATTTTGAAATCCATCCAATCTGATGATGCCTTTGTAATGGAGGCAATAACTGTTGCCAGCGGTTACATTATGACAGATGGAAAATGTGGCCCGAATAATGTTGACAGCCCCTGAGGATCTCCTGTCAGTTTTGGGGTTTTAATCCCACATCCAGCATTGTGTTTGTGGGCTGACAGAGGAACTGTGCACTTCTTCAGTTTATTTAAGTAAAACTTAAATAATTGGACTATTTTATATTAGATATTTTATAATTTTCCTTGCTTTTTTACTTATCAATGCGATCCCTCTTAATAAATACCAAATATTCTTGCTCTAGGAGCTTGTTAAATTGCTCTGTATTTGTAAACGTCAAAGAAAGTAAAATGTTCTCATTTGCAAGCATAGTAACTAATTTTTATAAAAGTGGTTTCATTTTTTCTTCTGTCTTGACATGAAGCTCAATAAAAACCTCTTCAAGTCTTCATTTGACTCTCCACTTGTGATTCACACGTTTGTAAGGTTGGCACAGCAGGAGACTGCAGTCGTGAGTTCTGCTTTGAAGCTCCTGCTTTACTTCTGAAGGTGTGAAAAACTGTTAGTCACTTTAGCTTCACATCAATCTTTCGGTGAGGGCTACATGTCCCCCGATGAGACTTCTTTTTCAAGACACATGTCTGAACTGTTGTCACAAAGATCCCCTCTTAGACTCATTTTAATAGAGGAGGGAAATTTTAGAAAGCATCTAATAATACTGCAGCGTCCTCTGTTTACTGTAAATGGTACCATAGCTGGACTCGTTGGATCTACAACATTTATAGTGTTGATTACTGCAGAAAACAAAAGCTTGTCCCATAGTTTGTAAAATACGATCCCTTACTAAGGAAGTCTTTAGGGATAACAGCTGATGTCCATTGATTGTCCCATAGCATTTTGTAAGTGCCTTTCTTTCAATGTAAATTGAGTTATGGGTAAAATTTATTTCCGTTATTAATTGACAGAATGCCACAGATACAGAGCTTTTACCACTCACCCTCAGCTTTAAAGCACTTTTATTTTTAAAGTTCTGCTCTCATATGAACACCATTTAAGGTTATGATTATAAGGTCATTATTGCAAAATAATTGCATTTCTCTGTTGGTTTTGTATTCTTCAAATAGAGAAATGGAACTAAATGTGAACTTGTTCAAATGTGCAAAAACAAATGCATCACATTGCATGCAAACACTCCCACACGTGCACACCTTTTGATGTTGCTCTGACCACAAAGTAACCAAAGCGTGCATTAAAAAGCAGTTATTTTCTCAGTGCGCTTACATTTGGTGTTGTTGGATGTCTGAGGCAACACATTGACTTTGGCTGAGAAAACAGTCAGCAAGATGGAAGTTTGCATATATCTGATTGTGCATTACTTCATGGCGTTCACCTTTTTCAAAGTGGCAGGTAATTGTTATTTATCTGTCACAGAGTTTGATAAAAAAGTTTGCAATACATATTCATCAGTTTGTTTTTGTTGAATCTGTAACCGCCTTTTAAATCTCTATTCCAGCTTGCTCTGAGGTGTCCATTATTGGAGGCAAAGATGTCAAAAAAGTTCAATCATGGATGGTGTCCATTCAGAAGGACCAGAAGCATGTGTGTGGAGGAATCCTGATTAAAGACCAGTGGGTTTTAACGGCAGCACATTGCCAAGAGTAAGGCAACCACTTTCAGCATATTAATAAACTTGTGAAGTATAATATAATCGGTTACACTTTATTTTGATAGTTCACTTTAGATATTCTACTAACTATAAGTAACTTTGCAACTACATGTCAACTAATTCTCATTAATTTGCAACTACAAGTCTACTAACTCTCAGAGTAGACTGTTAGGTTAGGTTTAGGGTTAGTCGAACAAGTTGATATATACTTGCAAAGATAGTTATAGTCAGTATGTTGTTTGTTGTGGGCCCATCAAAGTAAAGTGTTAGAAGGTATTAAGCAGACAGTCTACTAATAATGACTGCTAGTTGACATGTAGTTGCAAAGTTACTTACTGTTAGTAGAATGAAAATGGACTATCAAAATAAAGTGTTACCATATCATCTTTCAAAAAGGAAATGTAAATCTACAAATAAGATCATTCGTATGTTTTGTAATATTAGTATAACATTAGTAATTTTACACTTTTTCCCCTAAAGAGCTGATGTTTTGTATTTCTGCTAAAATAATGGTCCAAATGAAAGATACCATTATTATTTTAATATTAATATCAATGATTAATATCATTTTTATTTATTTTTAAATTTGTAATTAATATTTATTCTATATTTTATATGCATTCTTTCACTAAAATAATTATCTAAATTGAAATTATTTTAATACTTTTAAATACTTTTATTTATTTATTTACTTGTAAAATCTGTGTGAAGCATAATATAATCTTTGAGGAGAGAATATAAATATATAAATAAGAGCATGTAATCAGAAATGTCAGCCACCTATTTTTTTCCTCTTGAAAGAGCTGTGAGATTTTTTTTTAATCAAAGATACATTTATTATTGAATTCATATTTATTTATTTGTTTGTTTACAAATTAACTGGGCTGGGACACATCCCCCCATTTTTTTTATGCTAAGCTCTCAGTTTCTTAGCTTAGCTAGTGCTCACTATAAAGTATCTGCACCTAAGCACACTTTTTTCTATTTCAGAAAACCCATTAAATCTGTGACGGTTCTCATAGGATCTCTGTCTCTGAGTAAAGGCACTCAGCGTGTTGGCATCCTCAGTTACGAGTACCCTAAAACTTTCAATGCAAGAACTAAACAAGATGACATCATGCTCATTAAGGTAAGGATGAACTGAATGTGGTTGTTGTTTAGACATGGTGAGCGTATAACTCTTTTCACAGAACGCTTTTGTGCATTGCCTTTTGTACTGCAGCTAAACAAAAAAGTGAAAGCAAAACCCAAAAAAATCCCTAAAAAGGAAAAAGATGTTCCACCTGGAACAAGTTGTGTTGTGACAGGTTGGGGAACTACTGTTTCTAACGGCAAGGAACCTTCTGATAAACTGCAAATGTTAGAGGTGTTAGTGATGCACAGGACCCGGTGCAACCGCTACTACAACGACGATCCTGTGATCACCGAAGACATGCTGTGTGCAGGAGGCAAGCAAGAAAAGACAGGCACCTGTTGGGTATGTCATATTGTGGTCTTTGATTTATGGCTGGTTGTAAGCTCTTTGAAATCATACTTTTACCTGTCTGAAGGAAGAAGAACCTTGTCTTCTTTTTTTTTCAGGGAGATTCCGGTGGACCTCTGGAATGTAAGAAAAACATAGTTGGAGTGGTATCAGGGTCAAAAGGATGCAGTAATCCCAAGAAACCGACTGTGTACACCTTTCTCTCCCAAAGACACATCCTCTGGATCAATAACATACTGAAAAAGCAATTCAACAGCACATCCTTTTAAGAAGCGAAACATTTCCAGCATGTAGACTGTTGATTAGTTAAGATTGCTGTAACTAAAAAAAAAAAAGCTTTTGGAATTAAGATTAAATGTATACTCACAAAGCAGTACTGGATTATTTTTCACACTTTTTTAACAAGTGGTAAAACTGAGCAATATGTATCCGATATTGCATTAATACAAATTTATTGAAGAATACTTTTCCACTATGCTTTATTTTTGATGGACCCACTCATGGTTAAACAAAGACTGGAAGATGACCTACATTGACTGGTGAACACATTATATTTCTTTTTATGGTTTGTTTGTCAACCGGAACTTAAATTTTCAAAACTTGAATGAATTGGTTATTTAATTAGTAATGTTTTCTTTGTTTGTCTTCTATTACATTGAACACATTACATTAACACCAAAGCACATCAAGTATACTCCCACTGGCTTTTATAATAGTCTTTGTATGCAAACTGCTTTTGGAATTAAGATTAAATGTATACTCACTAAGCAGTACTGGATTATTTTTCACACTTTTTTAACAAGTAGTAAAACTGAGCAATATGTATCCGATATTGCATTAATACAAATTTATTGAAGAATACTTTTCCACTATGCTTTATTTTTGATGGACCCACTCATGGTTAAACAAAGACTGGAAGATGACCTACATTGACTGGTGAACACATTATATTTCTTTTTATGGTTTGTTTGTCAACCGGAACTTAAATTTTCAAAACTTGAATGAATTGGTTATTTAATTAGTAATGTTTTCTTTGTTTGTCTTCTATTACATTGAACACATTACATTAACACCAAAGCACATCAAGTATACTCCCACTGGCTTTTATAATAGTCTTTGCATGCAAACACAATCAGACACTTCCTCGAAATAATACAAAGTGTCAAAAACAAGCAGAGACCTCCTGGTGAGGGCGTTAAACAAACCCCATACAGAGTCGAGGACAGAACAGCAGACGGTTTAAAAGTGCATCCGAAAATATGTGCAACAGAGATGAAAGGTTCTTACTTTTAAAAATGAAATTTACATCTAAAGTCTTGATTTAGCTTCAGAGTGTAGTTCATACAGAACAAACAGTTTGTTTTTGGTGGTAAACATGATGGGAAAAGGGGATTCAATGAGTAATAGGCTTATATAATTCTATATAAACATAACAATAGGCCAATAACATTTCATGTAACATTACTGTAAAATATACTGTTAAATGTACAGTTTTTAAGTGAAAAAGATCACGTCATTCTGAAATGAAAATGAAAAACCATGTGTGACAGCTCCTTTACAAAAATTAACAATTTCTACAAATAAAACCAAAAAAACCTGGTTACTATACTTAAACCATGGTATCTACAATATAACCATGGTTTTGCTACACTGACCATATAGTTTAACCATGTTATAAACTGCGGTTATACAAATGGTAGTCAATACGTCAAAAAAAAAAAACCTTGGTTAGGCTAGGCTACTACACTTTTACTATTACAATAAAACCACACTCTAAAAAATGCTGGGTTAAAATAGGAACAAACCCAGCAATTGGGCTGTTTTGACCCAGCGGAGCTTCTATATATATAATTTTTCATTCAATTTTTGTGTGTCAGTGTGTTTTATATATGTTCAGAAGTTCAAAGTTTGAGGTTGGTAAGATTTTTTGTTTTTGAAAAAAGTCTCCTTTGCTTACAAAGGCTGCATTTATGTGATAAAAATACAGTAAAACAGCAATATTGTGATATTATTACAATAAAAAAATCTTTCTTTTTATATATATATTGAAATGTAATTTATTTTGGTGATGGCAAAACTGAATTTTCATTAGCTATTACTCCAGTCTTCAGTGTCACATGATCTTTAAGAAATAATTTTAATATGCTGATTTGCTGCTCAAGAAAAAAAATAATTGTAATCAATGTTGGACTGATGTGCTACTTAATATTTTTGTGGAAATCATGATACATATATTTTTCAGAATTTTTTGAAGAATGTGACACAGCATTTATTTGAAACTTTCATAAAATTCAATTTAATACAGCCTTTTTAAATAAAGAATTACTTTCAAAAATCTTACCGACCTTGTACATATATTATTATTATATAGCCTGTCATTAGATTTGAATTCACTCATAAATCAAAACCCGCGTTTGACTGATGTGCGATAGCAATGACAGTTTGTCTGTATTTCAGTGGAAGTACGTTGGCAGTCAGTTAATTTATAAAAATAAAAATAAGTCAGTTGGTTATTAATTAAAATTCTCAAATACACCAACGTTTACAAATGACAAATTGTACAAATACCAGATGGACAGAAAATATGCTTCGTATCATTTACCCTGATGTTAACACTTTTTTTGGTGCATTTTTTAAACATGAAATGTTCAACAAGTCTGGCCGATATTTTTTTTCCTTTAAAAAATGCTACAGGGATTGAAGTTCCTCTAATTAACGACTAATGCAGATATTAGGTGAACATTATTGCTTACCATAGTAAAATGTTGTAAGGGGAATAAAACGTATCTCGTGCACTGTATGAGTGTACAGTCAAGCTCGGTCACGAGGACACATGGATTGGTGACGTCACTCGATCTGCCCGGGGAATCAGAGGCAGCGCGAGCGCCACTTGAATGGATTGTTGTCGGTGAATAACTTTGCTCCTGGTTTCTCCCCTTTTGCCCTTTTTCTTCTAATATCTGCGAGTCTAAATAGCACTAAATGGTATATGAAGCACTTAACACCACTCGGAAAAGTGTGTTAGCGACAAACCCCTGAGGTCTGTGTGTGCGGCTTAACTTTTACAAAGTGGGTAAGTGCAGAAATCTAAACACTCTTTTCCCGTATATTTTTCCTTCCAATTTCAAGCTATTTCCATTAGAACTCTGTGGAACTTAAGAAGCGAGCGTTTCAGGCTTCACGCTACCGAATAAAAAGGCTGTAATTTCGCTTCAGTGTTACGTTTACATGCCAATGTTGTCTACAGTCATCATTCCTGTCAGCTACAGTCCAGTGTTGCCATTGTTCCTCAGTGAAGCGAGCGGTCGGTCCTGTTTGCGAATCTTTCTGAAAACTCCATCCAAACTTTTCACTTTCCCGTGGAGACTCCTCAGGAAGATCCAAGAATATCAGTGACCCCGGTTTATGTGTATTTATGGAGCTCACAGAGTGTCTGGACTCTTGACAAGGTTTTTCGGTACAACTTTGAAGGGAACACAGAATGCGCTGACATTGTAAACTTTGCACAGTGACCACTCATTAGATTCAGTACTCCTGCCACTGGGGCCACTGTAACTTGATCCACCTCTGTGCTTTGCCTCCAAGAGCTTGGTCCTAGTTTTGCCATTAATTACTGCTGACCTGATCCTTAGTTTCCGCCGTATTAAGAGACCGTTTTCTTTGGAGTATGTGTGTATGACTAACTAAAGTTTGATTTTATTCAGGTGTCCTGGGATCTGTTGGGATCTGAATGGACTAATATGAAGAGCCTGAAGGCAAAGTTTAGGAAAAGTGATGTAAGTATGACCTTGTGTGCTTTCAGCTGGTTTGGGAACTGAATGGTGTCTTATACACTTAAATCAAGACTTGTTTAAACTGTCCCTCTGAAGTAAGACAATAATTGAACAACTTAACATATGACATTTATAATTCACATTTTCATTCATTTGGAATCTGAGGTGTAGTTTCATAGTCAGCTTGTGTGAATGTTCTAGACTGGGGTGAATGACTCAGAATCAGACATGTCTCCAGCTTTATTATGATGACTGAGTCATAACTGGTAGTATAATTTTAAGGCTGAGAATTTCTGCACTCCCAAAGAAAGAACGGGAAAAAAAACAAGCGTCAGAGGAGCTTCCTGCCACCAGATGTGATTCAGCAATCATTTCTAAGCCTATAATAGAACTTTATCAGTTTCAGGCTGAAGTATTGGAATGTACTTGAATGAAACGTTATTGCTTATAATTGCATGTTTTGGCTTGCCAAATCATTGCCACTTGGGCTGAGTCAGCGGATGGAGATTATTGTGAAATTCTATGTGATCATCAAACCGCAGAACTAAGCTGAGTTTTAATATACTTTTCTGCCAGCACATGGTCACATTGGCATTTTGAACATTCACACGGAATGTTGTTAAGAGCAAGCCTGCCATAGCCGCATTCACAGCTCATAATATCAATTTTCTCCTTGTATGGTGGAGAAGACGTGGTTTATTGTTTTTATCTTTACTAAATGGTGGGTGTTTGCTTGCACAACAGTGTGGTTGCCTAGGAACAAAACTTTGACATTTTTTATTAAAAAAAAACAGTTAATAGGTAGAGATTATGTGTGTGTGTGTGTATATAATAATAAATACTAATTTATGCATTTAGCAGACGCTTTTATCCAAAGAGATTTACAGTGCATTCAGTCTATAAATTTTTTACCAGTATGTGTGCTCCCTGGGAATCGAACCCCCTTTTGCATTGCTAACGCAATGCTCTACCACTGAGCCACAGGAATATATATGTATATATTAGAGACATAATTAGTATTACCACGATATCACGGTACTGTTAAAATGTGCTGGAAATGTTCAAAAAGTACTGAAACGTAAATTGTTTCACCAAGTTTTACATTTAAAATCAACAAATGACTTATGGTTTGCATTAGTGTTGTCACGGTACCAAAATTTCAGTATTCGGTACCAATACCAGTGAAAATCCACGGTTCTCGGTACCAAAGCAAAACACAAAAACATGCTAATTAAAAAATGTGACTATACTTTCAGTTAATCCAAACTCTGTACATATTTAATTTTAAAGGGCTTTTGAAAACCTAGAGTTATTCAGCCAAGAATAACAACTAAGTTGGCTATAAAAAATAAAAAAAAAGCCCAGAACTGCTTTTCTGACTGATATGACACAAACAATGTTAGCCATTTGTACATTCTCTAACACGCATATCTTAGATTCACAATTCATTTAAAAACCTCAGGTGTGTAAAAATAGTAAATATCATCATGTCCTCCTGTTTTTTTTACCCTAATAAAAGTTATAGGAGCATTAAATAGTTAAAGGGATAGTTCACCCAAAAATGAAAATTTGATGTTTATCAGCTTACCCCCAGGGCATCCAAGATGTGGGTGACTTTGTTTCTTCAGTAGAACACAAAC